AAATTAGTGTAGCTTTGTTGCTTAATTACTAACAAACAAGCAAATATTTTTCTATGTGTGGTTGTTTGTTGCTGTTTTTAAGTTGTAAACCCACATAGGATACCTGATGTGTCTACCGTGAGGAATAGAACTCCAGATTTTAGCATTGTAAGTTCGGAGACTTACGACTGTCCCACCGGTGGACCTCATGTGTGATATATAAATAACGTTTAATATTGTGTTGTAAAGAATGATCCCATGCAAGAGATGTAACGAAGCATTTACAAAGAAGATTAGCGTATTCACTAGTAAAACTATTCCTAGCACCTTTGAAGTAATAGAGTATATTCTTTATTTGACTCCGTTGTGTTTGTATCGTACAACTCACCACAGCCACATCTTAGGTTGAAATATTTATCAACATTTTGCTCTACTCCAGAGCAGCTATCCCAAGAACTTAAACAAATAACTCATACTCTATCACTTGTTAAATTTCAATATTAACAGATCGTGTGGTCTTTCGGCACTTCATTTATTCGATAAGAAGAATGGTCCTATTAGCACTTACACATGATGTACCAACACTTATTGGAAGCGGAGTGCCACAGTGTATAACGGATTTTCAGATATCTATTACTTTCTCTAATATATTCGGAGGAGCAAAATGTTCTTAATGTTCACTAGTGACTTTGTTTTTTATAATATGAAACGTTTTAATTTAATATATATTTCAGGTAGAATGAAAACGAAACGTACCATACCGCAGAGTGGTCAGTTTAAAGTAGTATCAGCTCTTATCAACCCAGCTTAAATAACGGTTAGGAATGTTAGTCAATCGAATTGAAATAATTAGCTTTTTCTTTGTCTTATTCTCGTTTTGAGCATGAAAGCTAAAAGTACTAAAGCAGTTCTTGTGTGAGTTAAGTCACGTTAGCAAATATCACGCTTGCATATCTTTGATATAGCATCTTATAATTACCAAATGCTTATGAAATGATATAATGTAATTCATAGGAGAGTGAAATATTACCAAAAAATTGATTTGGTATACTTATGTTTTGTCTCAAAGATTTCTGGCCTTTCCTTTTCAGCTTATAGTAGTTTTTATAAGGCATATGAATTGAAAGTGCTGTTTTATCTTATGCTACAGATGTGATGAAAACAGAAAACCAGAAAATAGTCAGTTTCATTAAACCTAGAAACACATTGCTTGATAGAAAGTTCGATTATTACCTGATTGTTTTTTTTTTTTTTGTAAATGAAATAAATACTTGATCTCTGAAAAAAAAAATTACAGTTCAGATTTATCTTTCATCTTACACTAAACTAGTAAGTTAGTTTTTGGCGTTAGGTTTAAAGTGGTTGTAAATTAGCTTTAGTTCTTTAATAGTTCAAAATCTCAACAACCTCAGAATAGCACCATACACAATAGACAAAATAAAGATTAACTTTATGCGTTTATGGTTAAGATGGTAGGCTTTAATAAGAAAATATTTGTGACAAAATGTAAAAAAGAATAACCATAACTGTAAGAAAAGTCCAAAATCATCGAGAAAACAGTTATTTTGAAAAATTATACAGAGAGGAAAAATAAATGATAACTGTAACTAGTAAATGTAAAAACTTTATAAATTATATTAACAACAACCACCTTCATATAAAAAAAAGCAATAATGTTTAGTATTATATTTTACAAATATTATCACCTCAATTTTTTTCATTAATTTAATAAAAAGTCTACTTGCTGTATTACTGAAAATCGATTGATTATCAATACTAGATGTAACGAGAGTAAAAATTCTCTCTTTGTTAAATAAATAGAAGTTCGTTCGTGTTGTTGTTTTTCGGACCACTAATGTTTTTGGAAGATCGTAGGAAACGCTAATGTTTAATAGTAAGAAGGGTTTAACTTTTGAACTAAGAATGACAGCCTCCTATGAATGCAGAAAAATACCATTAACTGATCTCTTACACTGACCACCGATCAATTAAAACTGTTCTTGTGGTTGCAGCTTCTGGTGATGTCATCCATCTGGTATCTAGATGCAATTATTACATTTTAATAAACTAATTAATATTTTACTGACACATGTTTAGGTAAAATGAAAACAATGTCATAATGAGTAGCATGTCCTATTTTAAAATACAAAGACACAATATCGTATATAACTGTTAAAACAGCTGGTGGGAAAAAACACAGCGAATGAAATAAGCTATTAGAACACTTGATATTTAGATAAGCTATTTATGACATTCGTGCGTTCTCTTGAGGCTTGCGAAAACTTTGTCTTCAAGAGACTGAAAATTGGTTGGCTGGTTGTTGTTAAGCTAGACGTTACACAATGGGCTATCTGTGCTCCGCACAGACCACAGGTGCATTCTCGCTATTCAATTAGAGTAGCCCAAGACTTAATGGTAGATGTTGTTGACCATCTGACTTTCCTCTAGCCCATACCTTCAAAATTAAGAACTCTAGCATAGACAGCCCCTGTGTATATTTAAGCAAAATTCGAAAGAAAAAAAAACAGTTTGAGTATATTAGGAAGATTAAATGGTTTGTAGAATGTATAAAACCCAGAATCTTAAATATACAACATGTAATGGAAGAAGAGAGAGAGAGAAAAAGATATTGGATCGTGTAAACGCGCAGATGACTTTTATCAGTTCAAATTAGTAATGGATAACGCAGATAGCCCTTGTGCATCTTTAGACAAATATCTGAAACAAACAAACAATCCAACGTGCTTTCCTCCCCAAGGCAGCTAGAAATTTTGGCAACAAATCTAAAATCTAGTCGGTTAAGCAGAGATTCACACTGATTGTGAATAAATATTTTGTCCTCATGCGTTGCTTTTAATTAATTGCTGCTCATTTTCGAAATTACTTTCTGCATAAAGCTCCTCGAACTTGCATGCTCTATTATAGCTTTTCACACTTTGCTGTTTGACATCAATGTAGTTCAATAACACAAATCTATCTGTACATTAGCTCCAATTATTAATGAGTAGTCCATTGTTCGTGAACTTTGTATGTCTGGTACTCAATGTTCTACACTAAGAATTGCAGCTTGTGTATATCACATATTTTTGCATAAAGCAAATCCATTTCTAAGACTCTAAGCCTACATTAAGATCAGCCACTTTTCATTCATCTATGAGAGATTTTACCAATACAGATGCAGAGCCGTGGTTTTACATACCTTTCCAACTTCTCTTAGCTTTCGATAACAATTTCAGTGTTTACTGATAAACTACCTAGCTAACAAAATCGTAATGGACTTGCATCTCTTTCTCAAGATAACCTATTAGTTTTCTGTTGGCAAAAATTATTTCACATAAATAACTCATACTTTATCAACAGAGGAAAATTAATATATATATATATATATATATAATGATTCAGCTCAGAGCTTTCTGGTTAGCTAGTTTTTTCATGCGGCAGTATACTCTCATTCCAACATGACTCTTTCTTTTCCAGGAAGAAATATATCAGCTATGCACATTAATATATTTACACACAAAAGCCTAGACTTAATATCAGATGTCTCTCCTTTCCAGAGCATTTATTTTAATGTACTAAACATTAATACTAAATAAAATAACACAGTTCGATCTTTGATTGAGCCCAGTATCTTAATTCTCGAATATGAATCCAATAGGTTTATTTGTTGTAGCGCAAAGTTACACAATAAGCTATGTGCGTTCTTTCCACCACGGATTTTAGCGTTGCAAGTCCGTAAACTTACCACTGACTCACTGGGGACAAGTCTAATAGGACCTAAA